ACAGTCGAGGATGAGGACGGCTGGGAAGGGAAGGGTTTACACTTACCCGAGTGACGTCCGATCAGAGGAGACACTGACCTCAGCACCTGTGCCTACTGCAGTTACTAGCCCCTTCCCCGAAGCACTGGCAGGGAAGAGACTGGTTCAGGTGGACCACGGTCTGACCCCGTCTGGCAGTGCCTGGGCAAAACAGCTCCCCATTTCCCACCTGTTTTCAGGCTTTCACAGCAAGGCTCGAGGGCCCGGCAATACTCTAAGCCAGGGGTCTCTGACCTTTTTAAGCACCAGATCACTTTTTAAATTGAAGTGCAATGTAAGATCTATCCCAAACCCCAATACCCCGGCCCCACTTCCTTCGTGCCTCTTCTCCAAGGGCCCGCCCCTGCTCACTTCGTCCTCCCTTCTCCATTCTCCCTCCCTTTCACCAAGCAGGAGCAGGGGGTTGGGGCGCAGAGTCTTGGGCTAAGGGATTTGGAGTGTGAGGGGGCTCTGAGCTGAGCCTGGGGCAGGGAGTTGGGATGCAGGATGGGGTTCTGGGTGCAGGCTTTGGGAGGGAGTTTGGGTTCGGGGGCTCAGGGCTGGGGCAGGGGGCACAGGAGGGGGTTCATGACTGGGGCAGGAGTTTGGAACTGGTTCCAGCTGGGTGCTGCTTAGCTCAGATGGCTCCTGGGTGGGGGTGCAGTGGGGCTAAGGCAGGCTCACCCCTGCACTGGCCCTGCACCACTCCCAAAGGCAGCCAACAAACTCCCTCCATCCCAAGCCCTGTTGTACTCCCCGCACCCTGTTCTGTGGAGATAGAGTACAGGATGGGAGCAGGCACCCTGACATCTGCACCCCTCCTCTCCCTTCCCTGCTCTGCACAGCAAGTAGGAGGCTCCCAGGGCGGGGAGGGGGCACAACAGGGCTTGGATGGAGGGAGTTTGCTGGCTGCTTTTGAGAGTGGGGCAGGGCCGGGGCAGGCGTGAGCTTCCCGGGGGCGAAGGGGGCAGCTCTAAGGCAAAGGCAGGAGGTGCGCAGCAGTGGAGGGAGGAGCCACTGAAGTGCTGCACTTGACACCCTCCCGGCCAAACCAGTCAGGATCCCCTGTCAGAGGCTCCAAGATCTACCAGTAGATCCTGATCTATTGGTTGGTGACCACTGCTCTAAGGAGCCTTCCACTCACAGAATGCTGGTTTGACTCCAGCCGAGCTCGGCAGAGAGCATTCAGCTGCCAGCACGACATCAGTTAGTGGGTCTCACCCAATTCCTTCACAAACCCACTGGTGCAAAGGGCACTTTGCTGGCTGTCATGATGGACAGTTCAAGGAGCATGGACGGTCTGCACACCCCTTAACATGCCCCACACTGGCAGGGTAGCTGGTTTACTGCTGCTGGCTTCTCAGCAGCTAAATCAACTGCACCAGTCATCAGGGCTGTCAAAGCAGCACTAAATTCACTTCTTCCACACCACATAGGCCTGTCCCTGAAGGTAACGCTCCAGGAAGTGACTATAACTGATTTTCACTCCTTTCTGCCCATCTGCTACAGACACCCCCCACCGCGGTCCACGTGTTCGCTCTGGCGCAGACGGCCAAGTCACAGCACGTGAGCAGAGTACAGGCAAACAAGGCAACCCTATTCAAAATCCACCAGCACGACCCCCTGGCAGCAATGCCGAGACATCTCAATCAGCCTCCTCAGAAAGACCCCGTACAAATAGTCACAACACGCAGCGAAACCAGCAAGAAGGACCAGGCCTGACAGGCAAACTCAAGTCTCAAGTGACCCAGCAAAGTACTTGCAGTATCTTTCGTGCATCAGGAATGACAGGCAGGATCAGTCCAGTCTGCCCAGTATCCTGCCTCTGACAGCAGCCAGCACCAGCTACTCCGGCAAAGGTGCAAGAAACTCTGCAGTTCTAACTTGCTCACAGAGGAAATTTCTTCCTGTCCCTTTGGTTAGGGGTTCCCTGAAGCATTGCGGAAGGGAGAGAGGACTTTGTTACAACAAATAGTCTTTAAAGTGCTACCAGACTATTTGTTGTTGTTGAAGTTTTTCCTGTTACAGGCTAACTCGGCCACCCCGCTGCAGCTTTTGTTATAACAGAAAGAGGATTCTTTCCTGAGGCTGCTAGGCACAGACAAGTCCTGTGGTTCCCTCTGGCTCCTGGACGAAACGTTCATGCTGTTAGTCCTCACACAAGGTCTCCCCAGATCCTGGGTTGGGCCCTGCTGCTGCGGTAGGATGGGCTCAGCACACCACAGTACCCAACCCAAATTCCCAGCAGAACTATTCGGAGGCTGCTCCTTCACATTTGGATTTAGTCACTTTCACCAGATGTTTTTCTGGTGGAGTCCTGCAGGAAAGTCACACTGGAGCAGCTCTGCACCCTTCGGAAGCTAACTCACTCCCAGCCAGGCTGAGCCGACTCTCTGCCCTGAAATCCGGCACAGCGCACAAGACAGAGCTCTCCAAAAAGCAGCATGCCCTGCCTGCCACGTGTGCACCAAGGCCAAGAGCTCCCTCCCGCCACCCTGAGCTGAGGACAAGTTCAGATTCAATTCAGCCCATGCCAGCTTCACTGAACCCATGAGACCTTGCAGATGGTGGGAAGTGGGACTCAGGCTTCCCCACAGATCTGCCCCCACCCCTCAAGCGCTTCGTCCGCTGCTGTGTGCCAGCCTGCTCTCCAGATACTTCATCACATTGCTTTCCTGCACATACCAAGATCAAATGAAAGATTCCTCAACAGGTCCTAGGCTCTCTAGACACAAACAGCCTCCTGAACGTGACCTGCAAGTGCCAAATCCAAACAGGTGCCAGCCTGCGGCACTGCCAACGGGCGCTTTGCAAGGCCAGCGAGAGCTTTACTTTCCTGTGGCTTCGCTCCCCAGGACTGGTTCCTGTAAGGTCTGGTGCACTGTGACGGGAGCCCTGTTTCTCCGGCTTGGGAGAGCTGGAGATGAAGACTTCCCCATGGGATTCAGCAGCACTTCTAATAGTTATAGCAAAGGAGAAATCAGACAGTTTCATGGGACTGAGGATCAGAGCTGCTAATTCCCATGTGAGCAAATTAAAGGCTCAGAAGCAGCTCAGTGTGCCCAGGCCTCTAGGTGTGAAATCATGGACGCACTGGAAATCTGGAGGCTGCCTTAACCTCTTGGGCCTGCTTAGCCAGCCCACTCAGAGGTGACCTCCTTGTGTCCCTTCAAGGAGTCAATGGGCTCTGCATGCGGCAGAACCAGAGAGAGCCCAAAGGCGCTTGCATATTTCCCCGTGGATGCACATGGAAGTAGGGTAGGTTGTACATTTATCACATACGTCGGCACATACACATTTCTATTGTGTAAATCTGCGCCCGCAGGGGTGCACGGTGCCAAGAACCTGCAGCCATGCCCTTTACAAACGCAGTGCAGACCCCAGAACAACCTGGCCAGATCAGTGCTCCATCTAGCCTGCTGCGCCGGCTCTGAGTGATGATTCAGAGAAAGACGCAAGAAACCACAAAACTGGGAAACTCTGGAATGCCATGCCCAGAAGGGAAGTATCTTCCTAATCCCCACCAGTGCACAACTCTCTCGTGCCCTGAAGCATGAGCATTTAGATCCCTTCTGAAATAAGCTGACCCTTCCTTATGCACAGTGGTTATGTGGATGATCGTTATTGATTATAAGCATCTCATCCTTTTTGGAATCCTGCTAAGCTTTCGAGTGCAGGGGCATCTTGTGGCAGTGAGTTCCGCAGGTCAGTGCAGCATAATGTAAAAAAAAAAGTAATTGTCTCTCCTCCATATGAGGAAACTTACGCTGCCCCACACACCATCCTCACCAGCAGTCTGGGGCATTACCTGTTGCTGGCCAGGGAGAGGGTGACAAGGTTGGGCAGCCCCCGGAAGTCCTGGCTGTTGATGCGAGTGATCTGGTTGCCGGTGATGAAGAGGTTGCGGGTGTATCTGGGGATCTCAGCCGGAACAGCGCTCAGCTCCTTCAGAACACACTTGACAGTCCGGGCTGGTTCTGAACACTCACAGGGGACGGGGCAAGCCTGGCAAGCAAGCTGGGCAAGAAGAAGGCTCAGGAGCAGGAGCCCCCAGGACCCCAGACTGGCAGGGGGGGGCTCCCGGACGGACATTTCCAATATGCCAGTCTCAGCTGTTTCCGCCTGCAGACAAAGGGGGGGGGGTCACTAGAGTCCAGCATGATGTAAACCAAGCCAAGTGCCCCAAAGCCTCCTCCGAGAGCTAGTAACAGGGATGCAGGGTCTGTGCAGAGACTCGGTACCCCCAGGGTGCCGGGCCTCACTGGCACCCAGAGTGGAGCACTGCACGCGGGTCAGCACGCCCTGCCCCCTTACACAGTGCCCCATCCCCTCACAGCCCCTCCCCCCTAGAGTCCAGCATGATGTAAACCAAGCCAAGTGCCCCAAAGCCTCCTCCGAGAGCTAGTAACAGGGATGCAGGGTCTGTGCAGAGACTCGGTACCCCCAGGGTGCCGGGCCTCACTGGCACCCAGAGTGGAGCACTGCACGCGGGTCAGCACGCCCTGCCCCCTTACACAGTGCCCCATCCCCTCACAGCCCCTCCCCCCT